TAATTTGTGTATGTGAAAAATAATTTTAAATTTTCTAATTTATTTTTTAAAAAATATATATTGCTGATACAATATATAAAAAATTTTATTTTTCTAAGTTTTTTACATTATTTTATAATTATTTAATTTTAATTATGTAAATATATTCTATTGCATATTGTAGATCATTGTATAAATAAATATTATTTAATTTTAAGCAAAAATACGAATAAGAGTATACATAAATTAAAATATTAATATTTTTATAATTAATTAGAAAAATAATTATGTAATAATATACGTAAATATATTAATATAAACAGTTTATAAATATTAAAATATTAGTCGCAATTCATTAGAGTTTTCGCAACATATATGCAATAATCATAAACATAGGAAACATTTAAAAATTTTGCATCATTTTAATTATACAATATATAATCATTATATTATTATAATAAGGAATTACTTTTAATACTAAATAAGTGTATTAAACATAATAGTAATAATAATAATTATAATAAAAAAATTATCTTAATATTTAAACATTTAATTGATTCATATAATGTAATTGACTTAAATTGAAAGTGAAATTCAAAATGCAATAAATATTTCAATATCATTTATTTTCAAATAACTGTACCCCTTAATACATGTTTAATAATAAATAGGTCAACACATTTATGTTTGTTTATACAATTATGTATATTTTATATTATAGAGTAACTATAGATAAATAAATGCAATCTTATTATATTAATTTAAAAACTAACATAATTTATTATATTTTATTAATTCAAAAAAATAATGTTTAGTATTCAGATTTTAATTAGTCAATAAATTATTTTAATAAAACCGATGATGAATATTTTATTTAATTAAAACATTTTCAATTGCAATTAATTAATTAGTTTACCATTGCATTGAATAATTAGAAAAAATCAATTAGATTTCAAACTATAAAATTTAAATCTATTAACATAACTACTTATCTATTTAATAGATAAATACGATTTGAATTTATATGTGATTTATTAGTCAATTAAATATTTTTAAAAATTATTATTATTGCTTTACATTGTTTATATTTTAAATTAAAACATTTATTATTGACATCATAAACACCTACTATAATTTTTTTTAAATCAATTACGGTAATTATATTTTTTGTTTTGAATACAGCACCTAGTACAGTAATAATGATTATACTAAACAATTTTAATTTGAAAATAATTAGAAATATTATAATTACATTATTAATCAAATAATGTAAGTTTTCTATATAATTTTAATGATATAATTTTTAATTTGCCCATTATATATAATACAAATCTAATAAATTTAATAAATTATTAGATAATAAAATACCATTTTTTAAATATACATAAATTTATTTTTAATAATTTAAATTAATATAAAAATAATTTATTTAATATATTGATTAGTTGAAGTGACGTACAATAAAATAAATATGTTATATAAATTTTTTTTAAAAATTATTTACAAATAATATATAATAAAATTATGGTTAATACCATCCATTGAACTGAATGCTCCAATTTTTTGGGAAAAATTACACCAAAAAATTTATAAGAAAAACATTTATAATATCAAAAAAGCTTAACTTATTTATGATATAGTATTAAATTTTTATTTGTGAAAAAGAAACAATTATTATGTCATCCATAATCTTAATAATAAAACATTTGAATGACTGTTTGACTGACTTATTAGGGATATGATCTCAATAGTGATTAAATAATTAAAAAAAAAGTCGAGACAGCATTGAAACAACACATTGAAGTATTAGATAATAAAATAAAATTATAAATCATTTGTATGTGATATATACAATATTTTATGGTATAGTTTTTTTGCGTAGTCGTCATCGTTAGTGAACTGACTGACCCTGATTTGGAAAAAAAATAAATTGTTTGATATGCTGTATGAACCGGAGCTCCTGTTTTTTTTGCCTTAAAATTTTTCGTGTCGTCCCAAAACATACTAATATTTTTTATGATATTATTTTATGTACAACTCATGAATTTTTAATAATATTTTATTTATTAAACTAATTATTATATTTTTCTATTAGATGTTTAGAATATATATATATATATTTAAAATTATTACAAAATGCTTATAGACTTAAACATTGTATGATATTTGTGTCTATTAAACTTATTAATATAAAATATGATTTATTAATTTAAATAAGATTTTAATAAATTAACTTTTATGTAAAAATGTAATTTTATTTTATTTATTTACATTGTAATTATTTTTTTTTAAATATTATATAAATTATATGTATAAATGACTCATATTATATGACATTTATCTGTTTTTTTAAAACAACAATAACTTATAAAAATGGTTAAACCTTAAGGTTTCTCATACATAATTGTAATAAAAACATCAATATTTTATGAGTTGTTAAACTATACATAAAATAAAGTTTGAGTATTTTTTATTTAATTATTCAAAATATTAATGTTTTTAGTTTCTCCTGTAAGACAGATAACTGTTTACTAAAAAAAATAAAAGTAGAACTTTCCCTTTATTTGGGAGAACCAGTTCCTTTAAATCACTTTTTAACAGTATATACATACAGTGTCAATATAGATAACTACACATAACTGCCAAAATTCATATATAATAATAATATGGCATATCTAAATAGCTATTATATATACTGTTTTTTTTAAAAAAACATTAATATTTGCTATCATATGATAAATTATAGGGTGAACAGGAGGAGGGCGTCTGTTAATATCGTTAATCCCAACATTAATATCTTGAATAATAATCTCAATTCAACGAGAAAAACCTAATTCAAATAATCACATTTACCAATGTTTTTATTCAAACTTTCACCTTTATATTTATTTATTTTTTTTATCTTAAAAACCAACTTATCAAACATTTTTTGAAATTTGATTTAACATAAATTTATAGTATTGTAAACCAGTGTATACTTCATACTAAATGATGGAAAATCATATCATAGTTATAGCTATCAGTGTACTGTATGTGTGAGTGATTTATATTACCAAATAAAATACAATATAACTGAGGCCTCATTTTTTTTGTCTAATAGTCTCCAATGAGATAGTATTAGATTTATAAAAATGAATTATATATTATAAATTTTTATATATACTATAAATTAGTATTATATGATAATTATATAATTATATGATAATTATATACAGTATAATTCAAGTTTTATGTATCATTATTATTATCACTAAATTATTTCACCAAATTTTTTTAAACATCAATTAAATTGTTGTATATATTTTATTATTTTTCAAATGTGGTTTGTCTAACTTATTTTTTCTGTTTATCTAAATCACAATGTTATACAATGTGGTATATATTAATATATAATTAAATCTTATAGTTTATGTGTTTATTATGTATATAACAGTAAAGTAATAATACAGTTAATATTGCATATAATTTCACATTAGTTTAAAAATGTGAAATTGTTTATATAATGTAAAAGTTTTTCCATATAAATATAATTAGCTTACAGTATATTTTTAATATAAAAATTTAATGTTTACTATAACAATAATAAATTTTAACTTCAAATTATGTGAATAAATTTTTATTTCCTATTTATATTAACTGTTTACACTATTATCATAGAGTACAGTATATACAATATTTTTATATTTTATTTTATTGCTGTTTTCTTATTATATAAAACTAATGTCGTTTTGTGGTAAATAATATTATAAAGTTTTTTTTTCTCTTTCAAAATTCAAATATGAAAACAATAAATTTATTACAATAGTTTGTGTATATAGAAAATTATGAAAATTAAAAAAATTAAATTTTTTACTATACTGTACACTTCCCATATAATTTAACAACATAAAATTATAAATTACTGTGTATTTACTGTATTATTTTATTTTTAAAAATATGATACAATATAATATTATAAAATAGACTGTAATGTAATTTACTATAACTTTTAATAAAATTAAAATTTTGTTTATGTTTAATCAAAACAACAATAATAAAACAAAATTTAACATTTTGAAATATTGTGATTTACATTTAATTTTTTTAAAAAAATATTTAATTATTTATTGTTTTTTAATTTTAAAAATAGTAATATCAAGGAAAGGATTTTAAACAAACTAAAAAACTAATGGTTCCGCTGTTGTGAACATATAAGGGTTGACACAAACTCTTAAATTTACGACAACAACAACAACCCAACCGTTTCGACCCATCTTTGACTTTAAAAATCAATTGATAAACACTTGAAAATAAAAAAATAAATATATATCATATATGTATTGTTACAACAATTTTTTTAAACAATAATATCAACAACAAAAATCTTAGAAAATAATTTGACAAATAATTAATAGTAGAATAGTGTTGAAAACAAATCACACAAAACTAAACACAACAACAGTTCAGCAATTTATTGATTTGGATTTAAGCCAAAAGTTTTATTCAAAACATTTTTGGGATGAAAATCAGTAGTCAACAACATTTCATTCAATACACTCAAAACAGTATTATTATATAATATATATATATTATTTAAGTTACAAATTATTTTTGAAGTCAACACACTGTTTGTTGTATAAGTCATGTCATTTGAATTATACAACATTGAAGTCATCAACCAGTGCTTGGATTCTATTACTTCACGCGAAAAGTTCTAACAATTATTATTTAACTTAACTTAAAATATTCATTACATATAAAATATAACAAATTTTTTGAATATTATTATTAGTTTTGTTATTTTGTTGGTGTAAAACATATCGGATAAAGAAAATTAATATATTATTTTTGAAAACAAATCTTTTTGTTTGTTTCTCTAAGTTTAAACCAAAGCGTCAATATTTTAAAGTCATTTTTATTTTTAAAAAAAAATATTATTATCAATAAACTAGTGTTTGAATAGATATTTTTTTAAATACTATCATAAAAGTTATCATTTGCCTTCAACAACAACAACAATAATAATAATAATAATAATAATAATGCCATCAAAAGTACCAATTGATCACTACTTTGACGAAACATTTGTTGAGTCCGTTAGGACTGAATTAATAGCAAAGATTGAGACCAATTGTCAAGTCTATGATAAACGAGACGTCCATAAGTTAATGACATGCGATGATTGGTTTGTCCGACGGTTTCTTCCGTGGAGACCGACCACTGTTGACACTGCCGTCAAGTGTGTCAGCGATGCCATGAAATGGAGACACTTGAAGGCCATTAACGACTGGTCAGTAAATATTTTTTTATATACAAAAATTATTTTATTATTTTTTTGAACTTTAAAATTTGCAAATAACTAATAACTAGATTTAGTGCAGTAATAAAAATAATTATCCTTATTTGTAACACAATATTTTAGGTAATTTTATGATAAAATAAGGAAAAAATATTAAAATTTTTCAATACAGTCAATAATATTATATTAACTTAATGTTGTCCCCAAAAGAAAATGTTTGACTTGAAAACTATTGAACTTTAATTTTATATTTGAATATCAATTTTATTTTATTAAAGTATAATATTATATTAACAAAGTTTTCAATCAATTTTGTTTATAAAATATACTAATTATACTGTAATATAATATTATAAGGTTAACTTAGATAAAAATAATTAATGATTTATATATTTAAATCTAATTTATATTGAATTACAATAGTAATAATAATATTTACGTTGTTTATTATCTATAAAAACATTTTATTTATTTATATTCATATACTATATTATACAGCTAGAATATATTATTTGTAATTAAAATCAAATATAATATAATGAAACAAATATAAGATATATTATTAATTGACGGTATTATCAATTTTAAGTTATATTTTTATAACATTTATATGTAATATATTTCAATAGTATTATTTTTCAATAATTTATAATTATAATAGATAAAAAAAATATTTATTAATTTATATGAGAACTATTAAATATGTCCATTAAAGTAATTATAATTATAATATGTTATAAGTTATTTATCAATTTGTTTTTTTATTTCTATTAAGTTTTCTAACATTTTTATTTTCCTATTATTGTTATTAAATGCTATAATATTTTTGTATTATAAAAAACAAGTAAAGTTATTAAACATAAAAGTAATTTATTATAACTCACAATCACATTATATTTATATACACATAAAATATTTGTCATATATCATAAAACGACATAAATAATAAATCAATATCAAGATAGACCCACATTATTATTATTATTGTATGTAAATGTATGTTTATTTATGTCAAATATCATAATATATATAATAGTGATGTATGAAATAACTCAAAGTCCTATTTTGTGTAAATGTAAAAAATTATTATTTATTGAAAAATATTTTATACTATTATTCTAAATCACAATTTATTTATACATCACAATATTGACAAATTTATATATATATATATATATATATATATATATATATATATATAAATTATGTATTTTACAACTAAAAGCATTTATACAAACAAAAAACAAATAAAAAATTTAATATTAGAATTGTCTTTTTCCATTAGATTAACAAATAATTTATAATACAATACGATATTATTATTACTTTACTATCTCTCTCTCTCTCTCTCTCTCTCTCTCTCTCTCTCTCTTGTTTTTTTTCTATCCATCAATCTATTTTTCTTTCATTTTTGTTTTTTTCTATAATCTCTATTTAAAATGAATTATATATTAAACATTTTTTGTAGATATTTATAATACTTTTATGTATCATTAAAATATACAGAATATTCATTGTATTGTTTCATATTCACTATAAGATATGCAGCTTATAATCATTGTTTGATATTTATTATTATAATATTAATATTAATTATAATATATAAATAATTATATATCATAGGAACGACACCTACTTTCCCAATGAATTTTATCGTTTGGCCGCGTGTTTCACTTATTTGCCGGACAGGGATAACAATAATGTACTAATTATTAGATTGAAAAATAACAGAAGAGATCCCATATTGAGACCACATTTTGACGAATTGGCCCGAAATTACTTCATATATAAGTGCGAAAAGATTGTCAGTGAGAACAGTCATCGCGGGTTTGCCATCATATTTGACTGTCACGAGGCCTCCCTGTCCAATGTTGACCTGGACTTTGCACGGTTTATCATATCAACACTATCCAACTATTATGCTGGTATATAAATTTTATAGTCTATAGTTAAATTTATTTTAGTTATAAATTTTAATATTAACATACAGGTGCCGTAGTATACGTGTGCGTGTATGAGTTACCCTGGATATTCAATCAGATCTGGAAACTTGTCCGTTCGTGGCTCGACTCTGAGGCCAAAAAGTTGGTCCGATTTGCCACCAAAAAGGACATCTCAAAGTTGATTGCAGAGGAAAATTTGCCCGATTATATGGGCGGCACCGGTACCAAAGATTATCGACACGTGCCTAAGGGTGCGCTTACCATTGAAGAGATGGCCCGACAAACCGGTGTTCAGGGATTTTGCGGCACTGACATCGATAAAGTTGTCAATCATTTTACTAAATTAATCGATAATTCCTAATATTAGTCTTATTATTAATATTAGTCTTTAACTATTAGTTTATAACAATAAGTATTGTAACAAATAATAGCATTTGTTTTTATTTTGAAACTTTTGTGTTTATTTAAATAACATTTATCGGTAATGATATTATTTATTACTATTTATATAAATCTTATTTTATAATTTTTTTTCTATTTCTAAAAATTAAATTTAGTTTATTTTTAATTTTTTTTGAATCACATTTTTATTCTCAAAATATTTTTGTCTTTATTTATTTAAATGTTTGTTTTGATAAATCATATAAACTTTTTTTTAAATTCTATATTATTTAAAATTATAAAAAAACAATTTATAAATATAAAATATTATGAATTTGAATAAAATTAATTCAAACAAATGGATTTTTATTGAACTTTAACCCCAAAACTGTATATAAATCGGGAAATACAATGATTTTATGTTTGGTCAACAAATTGAATGTTAAATGCCTTGTATTTCTTCAAGAGTTTTTACAAAACGGATATTTATTTTCCGTACGGTTTGGATAACTAGAGTAGAAATCTATCTTAAATTTAAAGATTTAAATATCTATTTAAAAAAAAACTTTATTTTATTTATGTGATCAACAAAATCGATATCAAAAATGATACCCACAAAAAAAGTTGGCAAAGATTACTGTAAAATTGATTGTAAATCATTACATATATTATTATTAAATAGTTTAAAATATTTAAATTTATTTTGTTTTTATTATTGTATTTATTATAATTATACTGAATTATTATTTTTTAAAAATTATTATAACTATTTAAAATAATGATTATGATTGTTTAAATCATATAAATATTGTTTAACAGTATGTATTATTTGATTGTTTATTGAAAAATTATAGACTTCAGTAACGACTCCTAACGTTATAATATGAAAAACAAACAATCGATATATTAAAGTAACAAAATAGATAAATAACTTTTTAAGCCATACTTTAAATGTATAAATTACCAAGGGCATAATTATAGATGATATTAAACTAAACATTATTGTAATTGTTCATTTGTTTATTGTAAAACTAATTAAATAATAATATCGACTGYTACAACAAAAACAATCATTTTTTCTAGCAGTCGATGTTATTATCTAATTAATTTTAAATTTAATCATAAAATGACCAATTACAATAATGTTTAGTTTAATATTGACATCTAGATGTCACACATACATACATATATATATACAGTACTCTCTTTCTCTCTCTCTATCTATCGCTTCCCTTTTCCTTCAGTTAGTTAGACACACACACACAGTCATCATATTTTAATTTTTAATTTAATTGTAATTTTGATAATAATAATAATAATAATAAACTAATTTTGATTATTTGTTGTGTTGTTGTTGTTGTCATCAATTGATCCAAACATTGATCACATTTGGCGCAGTCGAAACGGATAACATTTTGTTAAAATTTAATTAACAAAATGTCTATTAACTCACAAAGTAATGCTCAACTGCCACGTGTACAGCAGTCGCAGCCATTAGCAATGCGTTCAACGCGTAGTCACAGTGCAGACCGGGTGGACAGTATAGCCAATAGAGACATACGGGAGATAGCCGAAAGTCTACTGAAGTTGAGCACAACTGTTCCAGCAATCGCAACCACTGGTACTACAGCAACTACGACCGCAATGGCAGCGGCAGCTCAGTCATCAGCAATGAGTGCACCGGTAATGCAACCGATACCGGCTCAACAGCAAATGTCTACACAAAGGTATTACTGTACTCCTGATTATCATATGCCCGCATATTCATTGCCGGCGCATTCCGAAGTCAAGCGAGCAAATCCATTGCTATGTGAGATATACAGCGGTACCGAGTCTAAAACAGATGTCAATGCATGGCTCGAGTATTTCGAAATGGTTACTGAAAGCTATTCAGACAGCGAACGCATAGTAGCGCTCGGCAAACACTGTACTGGTCAGGTAACTAATTGGCTATATAGGGAGGTATTCCCGACTAGACGCAAAACTAAGTATCGGAAAAACAGTGCATACCGCAAGATTACATGTACTTCGGGACTTCAAACACGATGCACTATTAGGTATGGACGTGATCCGTAACTTTGAATTATTAAATAAGATACCGGATCGCGAACTCATCCCTCCCAAACATTCGTGTCATATGGCAAAAAAAGTTGACAATCAAATTGTAAAACCGATAGACACCTTATTGGATAAATTTGACGTGTTTTGCAAAGACGACAAAGATGTCGGTCAAATACGTGATGTCGAACACGAAATAAGACTAATGCCGAACGCACCGATAATACATGAGAAGCCGTTTCGTATGTCATTGAAACGAGAACAGGAACTAAAGCAACACATTGATGAAATGCTCGACAAAGGATTTATTAGACCGTCCCGATCACCATATGCGGCACCAATATTTTTGGTACCAAAGAAAGGCGGTAAAACACGACCAGTAATTGATTACCGTAAGCTAAATGCTGTGACATTCAGTGAACGTGAACCGTTACTTGTCATTCAACAACTAATTGATAAGTTAGCTGGAGCTACAGTTTTCTCAAGTCAAGCTTGGGGTTTCTGGCATATCAAAATGGCCGCCAACTCTATCGAAAAGACAAGCTTTGTTGCACCATTCGGTCAATACGAGTTCTTGACAATGCCGATGGGACTTAAAAACAATTGTCCTGCATTTCAAAAAGAGGTGAGACATGTTCTCAGAGACTATATCGGTAAAGGAGTTGAATGTTATGTCGACGACATCTTATTACATTCAAGTAGAAGACATGAACACGAGATACTAATTCAACAAGTGCTTAAAACATTAGGCGACGCTGGCATTAAGTTACGAAGAGAGAAACGCAAGTTTTTTGAGACCGAAGTCGAATTTCTTGGCTTTCAGGTAAGCGCCAATCAAGTGCGCCCGAGTCCTACAAAAGTCAAAGCAATTAGTGATTTTCCGGTCCCTAAAGACAAGCTTTCAGTCCAACAGTTCATAGGTCTGGGTAATTTTTACCGACAGTTCATACCTAAGTTCAGTGAAATTGCCAGACCGTTAACAATATTAACTGGAAATGTAGACTTTGTGTGGTCCAATGATCAACAGAAGGCATTTGATTCACTTAAGTTAGCATTGACTACACCGCCGGTATTATCAATTTATGACCCGAATCGTCCAATAATACTACAAACAGATGCTTCCGATAAAGGACTGGCCGGTATACTAATGCAAGAAAACAAAGAAAACCAATTGAATGTCATTAGCTATTGGTCACAGAAAACAAGTCAATCAGAAGAAAAGTACTCGTCTTCAGCACTTGAATGTTTAGCTGTGGTCCGAGCCGTCGAACACTTTCATATATACTTAGAAGGAGTCCATTTCTCGATATACAGTGACTGTCATGCGTTGAAATGGCTTTTTAGTATTAAAAACCCGAGTTCATTACTATTTCGTTGGTCAGTTAGACTCGGCGTTTACGATTACACTGTATATCACAGACCAGGCAATAAAAATCAAGCCGCTGATTGCTTGTCCCGTAATCAATGTCATATCTGTTAACGAAATAGCTTTACGTCAACACGAAATCAATGAATACAATGTCCGTAAACTTACGTATAAAAATGGTGTGGCTATGGTTAGATACAAAGGTGTGGATCACGTCATCGTACCGAAGTCACTCACTATCGAAGTACTGAAACAGTTTCACGACAATATGAATCACATCGGTGTTGATAAAACAAAACGTCTAATAAGTGCCCAGTATTGGTGGCCTAACAAAGACAAAGAGATAACAGATTATGTAAAAAGCTGTCATACATGTCAGACAATTAAGCGATCACACGAATCACAATATGGTACACTCAATGCTATTGAGACTCCCGCAGAACCAAATCAATTGTGGGCTTTGGATACCATAGTTATCGGAAAAGCAGCTGACAACAGCTATGCTAAATACATATTGACATGTGTCGATCACCACTCGCGATATGTGTGGGCAAAACCTCTAAAAAGTAATACAACCGAATCGACAATCAATATGTTGAACTCATTGTTCACATGTGTCCGCAAACCTAAAGCTATACTGACAGACAACGGAACAAATTTCACTTCAAAACGATTTAAAGACTATTTGAGAACTCACGGTATTAGACAATTGTTGACCGCTCCATACAGAACTCAAAGTAACGGACTCTGCGAAAAAATGAACGGCAACATTGCTAATGGTATACGATTGGCAATGACAGACAAGGCTACACTCAAGTGGTCATCGCATGTCGGAACTGTTGTCGACTCAATCAATGATAGACCTCATGATGTCACCGGTTTCTGTCCCAGGTATCTTCAAACTGGAGAGGTAGCCGATGGACAACCATTGCCGAACGTTTCAGTCAACGAAGCCAGACGTATAGCTACTGAAAAGTCACGAAATGCACAGACAAACCGACAAATTAAACATAATGTTAAACACAGACAGTCTGATTTCAAAATTGGCACTTACGTCAAATACAGGTTACCAGAAAATCACCCGTCACGAAACAAGTGGTCGCCGACATTCATTGGTCCTTGCATTGTCCGCGAAATACTTGGCAAAGAGACGTATCGTGTCGATCAAGTCGATGTTAAAACAAAAGACATTATAAAAACATTTGTATCACACAGTGCATCTCTGATGCCATACTATTGTCGTACAGTAGACAGCAGTAGTACAAATATTGACAAAAATGTCAACAAAATCAATAACTATACGAAAACAAGCGAAAAAACTAYTAAAAACAACGAAAATAACATAAAAGTCAAAAAAGTGGTGACACCTGGTGTCAAATCGATCGATACTGATGCACGCGCAATGAACACGTATTGTATTAATAATAATAATATGAAATATTATTGTTATACGGCAAATGTAAAAAATCTCGCGCGTCGTCATTTACTACCGAACCGTTACAATATTATCAATAATATCAATAACAAAACTGTAAACAGTGAGACAACAATTGATA